TATATATATATATATATATATATATATGGATGGATCTCTTCTTTGGCTTTTAACTAACAGCTGGTCATTATTCTAGACCATTATAACGGCCGGCTCGCATTATTCATATCTTTCCCACACCAAAAATTAAAGACCCTTATTTTAAAACCATACATCATTGTTGTTAGGATCTGTATGTATGTATATATATCATGTGTATGTGTATTATATCTACGGTAAGTAAGCCAGAAAGTGTCTTATTTAGAAGAGAAAAGGAAAGGAGTCTCATTAGTATGGAGGATCCTAAGAGAATGGAAGAAGGGTTCCGTCAAGTCCCGTTAGTCGCTGGAGAAAAACCCGAACCTCCGGTCGAGCAAAGAGAAGACATCCGAAACGAGAGGAAAATGGTAACGACACAACAACATGAGGAATCAAATGGTGGGGAAAAACCGAAAGAAAAGAGTAAGAGGATTGCAACTTTGGATGCGTTCCGAGGTTTAACAATTGTAGTAAGTACTTGAAATCTGTTACGAATGTTTACGGTTTAAAAATTCATTTTCAAAAGGATTTAAATTACCAGTTGGGCATGAAAAATTACATAAAAAAGACACTTTAATTTTTTTGTGATTTTTCAGCTAATGATATTAGTAGACGACGCGGGAGGAGTATACGCACGAATAGATCACTCGCCATGGAATGGGTGCACCTTGGCCGATTTCGTGATGCCATTCTTTCTTTTTATCGTTGGGGTCGCAATTGCCCTTGCTCTCAAGGTACATATATATATATATATATATATATATATATATGTGTGTGTGTGTGTGTACAGGATATGTATGTATTCACGACACGTATCTTCTGTCATGTAAATTAACTATTAACGAATTTGTCGCCTTCGCAGAGGGTTTCAAACATGAAATATGCAGTGAGAAAGATAATCATAAGAACCTTGAAGATGTTGTTTTGGGGAATTCTCTTGCAAGGTAAAAATCTTGCATTAATCGAAAGGGTGTTTTGGTCATTTCACAAAGGATTGTGCCGAAGGGTGTTCCAATTTATAATGTGATAATTTGGGGCCCAATTATCCAATTATATATGTTTTAAACAGTAGTCCAACTTTAATGTTATAGGCTTCTACTCGTTTAGCCGATTCTTGCTTTCGATTTACATTAAGAAAATGTTTTTTCTCATAAGTATCTATTTGTGCAGGAGGGTATTCTCATGCACCAGATGAGTTGGTTTATGGAGTTGACATGAAGAAGATAAGATGGTGTGGTATCCTTCAGGTATACTTAATCATATGATCCTGATCACTACTAAAAATGGGGGGTTTTTTGACGGCCAAATCCGCAACCAAATCCTTCGAAAAACCACATTTCTTGCGGATTTCTGATAGATTGGTCGGCCAGAAAAACCCCCACCTCTAAATGCAATTTCCAGCGGATTTTCTGACGGATTTGTAATAAATAGGAAAAAAATCCATCACAAATCCGTAAGGAAAGTTATCGAAATAAATTTTTATATTTAAAAAAAACAGTGGAGGACTTGTGTCGGAAGTCAACAAAAGTAGATTTTTGTTTTACTTTTGTGGGATCCAAACGGAAATTCCGTCAGCAAAATCCGTCGATGATATCCAACTTGTTCGCAGTGGATGCATTAATAAGTTGTACCGTACAATTCCAATGGTATATATTTAATTTTTCACAGAGAATAGCACTGGTGTACATGATTGTAGCCCTCATAGAAACGTTAACTACAAAGCTCAGACCAACAGTTGTACAGCCTGGTCCTTTCTCCATTTTCTCAGCTTATAAATGGCAATGGTAAGTCTTCCATATGTTACAGTTTCCTCCAAAATAATAAGGTTATCATCGATCGAATTCTGTCCGTTTTCACGGTCGGTAAAAGTTAAAATGGACGAATTCATTACAACGAAATCGGGTTTATAGAACGCATAAAATGCTTAAGTTTTCTAATAGAGTGCTTTATAAAACGTAATTTTATAGGATCGAACAATTATCTGTTATAAGTAAAAGTGTTACAATAAGTTTATATGACACATTTGGGTGTCTTAACAAGTTTTTTTTTGAACACTTTTGAAATACTGTGTCCAATTAGTTTTCTTATATGATATTTTTGATAAGTGTTGTATGGAGTATAAACATATCTTTTTATAAGACATTTATTTTTGTACAAAAGTTTAAATAATGTCATATAAAAAATTAATAGGAGTATAGGACAGTTTATTTAAAAATTGTCCTAAAAAACTTGTTAAGATGCACAAAAAAAGGTCCCATAAATTTATTGTAACAATTTTAGATAGATTGTGCACATGTTTGGTCCTATAAACCAGTCTTTTAGAACACTTGCACATATTTGCCATTCTATAAATTTGATTTTATTGTAGTGGTTAATGACATAACACTAAACAAATTCGCGGAAACAATAATGTCGAAAACACATCACTGACATATTTTATCGACTAATTTCAAACTTTAGCAACGGCTGATCCGTCTAAATACGTTACTGAACGATGGTCTCCCGTCTCGCTAATTCGTCATTATTTATTGTGATCGAAGTTGTTATTCCCTTAGTAATCCTTCGATATTTTTCGACAGGTGAAAAGTAGTTTCCTTAGTGTTAATGCTCATCAAAATTAATATCTTTTTGTCAATTATGTTTTTTTACGTTCGATATTAGGCTTGGAGGATTCATCGCGTTTCTTATTTACATGATCACAACATTTGCTCTCTATGTTCCTGATTGGAGTTTTACAATACGCCATCACGACAGATTAGAGAGTTTCACTGTAAGTTTGAAATGGTCTATATATATATATATATTTACGTTGATCAGTTATATGTACTAAAATAAAATTACTGTGATCGATGTTTTAGGTTGAATGTGGAATGAGAGGGCATCTAGGTCCTGCTTGTAATGCGGTTGGTTACGTAGATAGAGAAGTTTGGGGTATCAATCATCTTTATTCGCAACCCGTTTGGAGTCGATTAAAGGTTCTTTCCAAAATTTTGATTTGCAAGTTTTATGATCCTAACAACATGCGGACATTCATCGGGGTTCTTAAATTAAACAACAGGCTTGCACTTTTAGCTCTCCAGAATCCGGTCATCTTCGCCCAGACGCTCCAAATTGGTGTCGTGCACCCTTTGAACCCGAAGGCCTATTGAGGTACATACACACAAAAACCAAGATAACTAACCCTTGAGGTAGCTCAATTGTCGAGTCTCGAATTTGCTTTCCCGTTCACTATAACAAAATCGTGTTTATATGACGTCAAAAAATGTCAAAGTCTTGTAATAGACTGCTTTATGAGTCTTAAGTTTATAGGACCACATATTTCACGTCTTATGTAAAAATGTTACAAAAAGTATATATATGACGTTTTTGAGCTTCTTAACAAGTTTATAAGAAAATATTTTTGAAATAAAGTATTATATTAGTTTTTTATATGACATTTTTGAAAAGTGTCATGCGAACAAAACTTTTTATAGATTACTTGCTTTTAAAGGCACTTTTCCAAGTAATGTCTTATTCAAAAATTAGAGTAGATTACATTTTTGGTATTTGTGGTTGTCACTCATTGTCAAGTTTAGTTCCTACTTTAAACTAATTACACTTTTGATCATTACGATTGTCACTTTGTTTCGCTTTTAGTCCATGTGGCTAATGGTGTTAATGAGGTTCGTTAACTCCAGAACATTTTGCTATTTTTTTATTCATTCATTTATTTTATATTAGAAAATGAAACAAATATATGATTATACTATGAATGCCCACCCACCCTTTTTCTTCTCCGACCGTAGACCTAGTTGGCCGCTATAGGTTTATCGGTTACGTCACTTGCTTATCCCCTTCTCAGCCCTTCTACAACTCTGGACTCCTTAGATCTAGGTTTTTAATAGTCAAACCATATTTTCAACACCCCTTTCTCCTTGCATGCATACCATTTCCGATGCCCCTTCCTTTTTCACACACATACAAACACCAGATCTAGGTGCTTATAAATTGTGAACAAACTAAAAGCTAAATGAATCAATGACTTCCTAAAATGTTGTGTACGCAAACATATACTATTAAAACAAACCTCAAAGGACTCCAAAAATACGACAATCAAATAGAAAAAGAACAGACCCAAGTTCTTTGGGTATTCTACTATTGTCTTTGTTTTCACCTTAATACAACAAAATGAGATCTACATTGGTGGGTTTACCTGTAAAATATGTTGTATACACATAACCACGACATTTCTAACACATAAAAATAGAGATGGAGATGACCAATGAGTATGTGTAGGAAAAAAATGAGGTGTTGTAGGTGTTCATACACACATATATTGAGACATAATGTGATGTTTTTGCCACTATGGCTCGCCGGATGGGCAGGGGAGGGACTTCTCTTAGATCTAGGTTGATAAGGGTCAAGGGGTTATGGTGTGTGAAAGGGGAAGGGGGCGTTGGAAATGGTGTGTGTGCAAGAGGAATGGGCACTAGATATTGAATGTGTGCAAAGAGAAAGAAGAGAAAGGGGTGCCGAAAATATAGCCTGACTATTAAAAACCTTAGATCTAGGGAGGAGGCTAGAGTTGTAGAAGAGTTGTAGAAGGGTAGTAGAATGGGATGCGCAAGTGACAGAACCAATGAACTCATGGTGCCGAACGAAGTTTACGGTTGGAGAAGAAAAAGGTGGGGTGGATATACGTATTACAATAATATTTTTGTTTAATTTTCTAATAAAATATTATATAAATAAGAAAAACAGTAAAATGCCCTGGAGTTTATGAACTTCGCTAACGCTGTTAGCACATGGACCAAAAGTGAAAGACAGTGGCAACCACGGTAATCAAAAGTGTAATTAGTTTAAAATAGGAGCTAGACTTGATAGTGAGTGGTAACCACATGGATCAAAAGTGTAATTTACTCAAAGAAGTACCTTGTTTTATTGCAAAATTGTTCTGAAAACTTATTTAAGTCGTCCAAAAAGGTTTTATAAACTTATTTTAACACTTGCATATCTTATGTGTTTCGTCCTATAAACGTAAGTCATATAAAATCGTCTATTAGGACACATAGAAATTTTTTGTCGTACTATAAACCCGATTTTATTGTATTGATTGTTCGACTCTCCAAGAGATTTTCCGACTGTTAAATTCATGTTTTGGCCGAGGTACGCACAAGCTAATCCGAATGCCTACGGTTATAGAAAACCCAACAAAATTAAAGATGAAAATTAAATTGATGAAGGAAAACAGAAAGTTTCCATTAAATTGTGGCGGTATAACCCAAATCAACTCAGTAAATCCAATTCTTTAAAGTTTATATATGATGATATATAATTGTCAAGTGTTTGTATTGCAGTTCAATCTCAGCAATTGTATCTGGTGTGATTGGCATTCACTATGGACATGTCTTGATCCACTTCAAGGGGCATGCAGAGAGGCTCAAGCAATGGATTTCAATGGGTTTTGGCTTGTTGATCATAGCAATTATTCTTCATTTTACAGATGGTATATATATATATATATTTCCAACCTATATATATATATATATATATATATATATGATCCGTTTTTTATCTCAATTTAGAATTAATGCATGGTGTACTTTTATGTAGCGATTCCGATAAACAAGCAACTCTATAGTTTCAGCTACGTTTGTTTCACTGCTGGGGCTGCTGGAATAGTGTTTTCTGCTTTTTACATCTTGGTAAGTAAAATTGACGACAGTGACACAACCAGACAATGCAAAAAAGGCGAATGTGGATTTTCTAATAATGACTTGTTGATCGAATGATTGCATACATTACAGATTGATGTTTGGGGAAAACGTACTCCATTTTTGTTGTTCGAATGGATTGGAATGAACGCAATGTTGGTTTTCGTACTTGGAGCACAAGGCATTTTAGCAGGGTTCATAAACGGATGGTTTTACAAGAACCCCGATAACAATCTGGTAACGTAACCATCTCACAACAATCTTCTACACCAATGATAACAAAATTTTGTCATGACATGTGCTAATATCATGTTTTAGGTAAATTGGATACAAGATCATATTTTCAACGATGTTTGGCACTCAGAAAGAGTCGGGACACTTCTTTACGTGATATTTGCGGAGATCGTGTTCTGGGGAGTCCTTTCGGGAATTCTACACAGATTTCGTATATACTGGAAACTTTAAAATCCCAAGTTTAGGATATTGTATTGTACTTGTATTGGAAAACACATATATCCTTGTTATAGTACATTGTGGCATGTACTAATGTAAAATACATATGTCCAGAATGTTACTGTCACCTTTGGGTTGTTATCCACAATCAAATTTTGGTTGTACCAAATTTATCAATTGTGAAGTGTTTTATCAATGTAAATGGCAACAAATTAACGTTTTTCTTTGCAGTAGTAGATGCAATTTTTGACGTTATAAGCCAGAGACGTACCCGAATTTTTTTCAAAAGATGACACTATTTGACTATAAGAAAAACCTATAGGGAAAAAATTTCAAGCAAGCGGTGGCACCATCTAACTATAAGAAACAAATATACGGAATTATTTTTAAACGGTGGCACCATTAGACTAAGAAAACGATACTAACAGGATTCGAACTTGGGTATGGGGTGGAATAAAAACTTTGCAAACCAACTCTACAAATAAAACTTGTTCTCATTGTAGTTTCAAAATACATACGGTTGCACCTTTCACGAACCTAAAACTTTTTATCCTTCGAGAGATGAATAATATGGTGGCACGTGCCACCATATGCACCACTATAGGTCTGTCCTTGTTATAAGCACATTTTAATACTCTAACCATCATTCACCTTTTCGTGAAACCAAGATTTATGTACATATTGTAACGACCCACAAATCCACATAATATATACCACAAATTTTACATATAACAAACCATATTAGGGATACACACAGGTCCCAACATACAAAACTATACAACTGTTTGAATATTACCATAAACTTTTACTTTTTGCTGATAATAACATAATACAAAAGATCCATTTAGCAAGAGATCACAAACTTCCATATATTCTCTATCGGGTTCACATATAACAGCAAAACACGTAATCTCACAACTTTCGTTTTCCCTTATCACTTAAACATGGCTGCCCTGGAATGCTTTATTTCTTTTTAAACAAAATGAGGGTTAGATGATACAACCTAGTGAGGAAAATCCATGCCAGTTAAACAATCCAGTATAAACCAGTTAATGAAAAACATTTAAATATGTTAGTTATGAGTTGGCACCCAAGCACAACATCCCTCCCAAGCAATAAGCCACAACAGTCGCCATTCTAAAACAACGCACACCACAATGAAAGCGCAATTAGCCACAAGGGTGGTGCCTGGTCGGTTTGAGTTTGGCTCCAAAGGTCAAAAGTACCTAGAGGTCCCAGGTTCAAATCCACAGAGGAATAAAAAATCCCCTTGTGGCCACGGAGGTTCAAATGCAGTGACTCCGGCTATCTACAAAGCAGGTGGTCACCCTGGGATTAGTCGGCTCGCATAGCGGGTTGGATATCCAAGTTAATAAAAAAAGCGCAATCAATAACGGTAGTGGCCCATCACACGAAACACATTGGCGGGAAAAATATATATCCCCTTGGACGGACCATCACAAATACACTTGTAATGTTTGATTTTAAGTTATGGGTTGATTGGGTTTGAAATAAATATTGATGCAAAATTCAGAGGTAAAATCATGATTTATTGAAAGATGTGGGACCAATGGTGAATTAGTTGTCACTCGTTGTGGGTTATGTTTTTTTTTTTTTGGTCCAATATTATTTTCTGGATTTATGGTTTTCACATGGAGGGAGAGTGCATGCCCATGCACCGCCTCACCCTTCCCTCTTGAGAATTTCATACATAAGTTTAAAAGAAGGGTTAGGAAAAAGGTTTTTTGGAGATTGGATTGAAGGGGAGAAAGAATTAGAGAGTGTAGAAGGAGATCTTGAGTAATTTCGGACGAGGTGAGTTGTTACAAAGTTTTGGTAAATTATGTGTTATTACGTGACATGTGATTTACTTTGATACATGAAACTATGTGACGTGTTTGGATTTGAAAAATTATGTCCGATGGGGTGTGTTCATCTCCCACGCTTTGGGAGATGAGGGTGCTCATCTCCCAAGCCTTGGGAGATGAGGGGTGCTCATCTCCCTTGAGAGAGGAGGGGCACTCATCTCCCATGCCTTGGGAGATGAGGGAGTTCATCGACTAAGCTTTGACCTATGAGTTTGTTCATCGTCTAAAACTGATAGTTGGTGAAAGTGGAGGGTTTAACCGCGATAGATGGGGGGCAACCGCGATAGTTGGCGGGTTTAACTACGATAGATGTAGGGTTTAACCGCGATAGATGACGGGGCAACCGCGATTGTTGGCGGGTTTAACCGCGATAGTTGGCGGGTTTAACCGCGATAGATGGCAGCACAACCGTGATAGTTGGCAGGTTTAACCGCGATAAGTTGAAATTTGAATTTAAATTATTTTCATATTTTATGACAGGTTTTTATACGAGGAATATCACTCATTAGACCTTTTGGTCTAACCCTCAAATGTTGTAAATGTATTTTTGTAGGTCAACTCAGGTTGGAGAATAAAGGGAAAGGAAATTTGTAATTGGCTGTAGGTTTAGTCTTTATTCGAAAAGTTTATTTTAGATCAGACTTTTGGCTAATATGTATGGATAATATTGATCTGTTTGTATAATTGGAACTTGTTATATGTAAGAGCATGGATATTGGGATTTGGATTTGATGGGTTGTTACAGTTGATATCAGAGCCATAGTTTAAGAGATCTAGGTACTTCTCTGGTACTTAGACTTAAACTAGATGCGTTAATTGTTTGATAATAGGTTCCACTGGGATTTCGATCATAGGAATGTGTTAAATATAATTGGGTCTAAAGTGATGGCAAGTACGGTAGATTTAGATTATATAAGGCCAATGTAAATCATGAAATTATAGGTGCTTGTTTGAACTTGAACACCTTATTGTATTTAGGTATGTGATTAATTGTATACATGTTTATTGTTGCAGTTAAGAGTGATAAGATAAAATGGTAGATAATCATGTGTGCAGTAAGAAATATATATATCTGATAATCCCGAGGGAGAAAATCCTATGTTAAGGAATATCCCTGAGGGGATATCTGTGGGCCACGGAAGAGGCTAGGGAAGAGGAATCCTGAATATTGGAATAAATCCAAAAATTACTACAACAGTGGAAACAAGGAGCCGAGGTCGGGGACGAGAAAGAGGGAGAGGTATACAACAGAAAATTCATATTGATCAAGAAATTTCAGTACAAGAGAGCTTAACATCAGACCGTAAACGCGCCAGAGCAAGGGGCAGAGGTCGTGATCACAACCCTGGGTTTATTACTCAGGAAATGTTAGCGGCCGAATTGGGAAATGTCAAAATGATCTTGTATCTTTCTTGGGGCATTCTACTCAGCATAATTCAGAAAGGATGGTGAATTTCGAATCTTCACGAAGAAGTCGGGGTAAGTACATCCACTTACCTCATCTCCAGTCCCAAAGAGAGGTGATATTAAGATGTTTCTTGCCTGCAAGCCTCCTAAGTTTTCTTGTGAGCATGATCCTGTTAAGGCCATGTGTTGGCTTAAAGAAATAGAATTAAGTCTAAAAACTAGTAAAAACGTAAAAGAAGATAAAGTGATGTTTGCAAATTCGAGATTACGGTCAAGTGCATTGTATTGGTGGGAAATCATGATGAGTTCAAATTCGAATATTCTGGATAAATGTCTTGGGAGAATTTTATTGCAAAGTTTAAAGTACAATATTGTCCTGAAGTTGTGATGCGAAAGCTAGAGGATGATTTTCTTCGACTGGAGCAGGGCAGTATGACGGTTCATCAATATACTGAAATATTCATGGAACAGTCAAATATGTTGCCACTGAAGGCAGCAAAATGAGAAAGTATATATAGGGTTTGGAACCCAACCTCAGAAAGTATGTGATTCCCAGAAATCTGTTTACATTTCAAGCAGTGATTGATGATGCGGAGATTCTGGAACAAGATAACAATCGACAAATGCAAGAGAGGATTGGGGAGAAGAGGAAAGAGGATGTGTTAGTGGTTAACTTCCATATACCTAAGTTTGTTGGAACCCAAAAATCATCCAACACAAAGGTTTACTGATACATCGTGTACTTGATGCCATAGAGTACATCAAGGGGAATGTAACACTGACCCACAAAGGTGTTACAAATTTCAGGAATCAGGTCATTTGGCCAAAAATTGTAGAGCAGTACGACAATGTTTTACATGTAATTCTCCGCATCATATTCATTTTAACTGTCCACAAGTAAAGGATGGAGATCTGGTTATTCTAGGGGTAATCCACCCAATTGGGGGCCAATGGTTAACCAAAATATTTTTAATGGCCGTGGAGAGGTAAGGTGTGGAGAGATGGTGACGAGAGGACAAGACTTTCAGATGACGAGAGGAGAAGTTGAAGAAAACTCGGAAATGGTGACATGTACATTCTTTGTTAATTCAATATATGTCAAAGTCTTATTTGATTATGGTGCAAATTGTTCATTTGTGTCGCCTTCATTCGTTGGATGTGCGTGTTTAAAGTCTAAGGGTTTAAATGATGCTTTGATGGTAGAAACCACAAACGATAGTGAAGTCTCGGTTAAGGAAGTTTTTTTATGATTGTTTTATAGTAGTAGAGGGGTGTGAGGTACCCATTCAATTATTCCCTATGCCATTACGGGAATTTGATGTAATAATGGGTATGGATTGGTTGGCTAAAAATCAAGCCAACATAATATGTAACAAGAAAATGATTCATACAGATTTACCGAGGAAGGCACCAGTTATAATTTATGGAGATAGATGAGATTGTTGTTCCAACCTTATTTCCATCTTAAAGGCTCAGAGGTATGTACAGAAAGGGTGTGTAAGTTTTCTCGCTTATGTGATTGATATGAAGAAAGAAAAGAGCAAGATAGAGAATATTCCAATTGCAAGTGAATTTCCAGAAGTATTCCTAGAACACTTGACAGGTTTACCTCCTGATTGATTGATAGAATTTCAGTTCGAATTGATACCGGGAGTCGCGCCAGGGGCTCATTCACCATATAGATTAGCTTTGTCTAAATTGAAAGAGTTAATGTCACATATGAAATAATTGCTCGAC